TATGTAAAGTAATTGTATTTTTGAGTCCTCTTAGAAGAAATCTGTGGGCTATATATTAAAAATAAATAAATATAAATTATTACTAACATAATAACAAATTTTATTTTTTAACACTTATTAGTCAGTTTTTCTTCAATGATTTAATTTTCTTTTACATTAAGGTACTATAATACACGAATCCTACCTGAGCACCATTACTCCTGGTTTGCATGTTCTGCGAGATACTCTGATGACCGGTTTACGTCTGGTTACTGACAGAAATAATAAACAAAAAAAATTCATTGCTCTGGCTGGTGAATTGCTGGAAGAACCTGAAGGAATGGTATGTTATAAACAATTATATAATTAAATTGTAATAGTCAATTAATATATAATAAGTTCTATCAATTATTGCTTAATTTTTACTCTTTCAATTATTATTTTAAGGTGGATCCAAATTTTATAGCAACTCAAATAACAGTTCGGACACCATTTGAGTTTGATGTTATGTTTGAGACTGATGAAGTAGAAAATAATTTAAAAGGTGCAGAATATACAAAAGCACTTGAGGAGCATAAAAAGAAATTTGAGGACAAGTTTGAAGGTTTATTTGGACTTAAAAAAAAAGGGTAAGCTTAAAATTATTTCTTAAAAAATAAATATATTAAGTAAATATAAATACAATTAAATTTTGAAAACAAGAACAAAAACTCAAATTAATGTTAAATAGTGTTTTAAGACTTAATTAAGTCTATAAATCTATTTTTTATATCTATTTTAGCTTCTCAGAGAAACAAATATCATTTGCACAAGCTAGCTTAGCAAACATGATAGGTTCTGTTGGATATTTTTATGGATCGTCCAAAGTTAAAAGCGAATATACTAAAGAACCTGTGCCTTATTGGAAAGCTCCTTTGTATACTGGAGTACCTTCTAGGTAATAAAAATACAAACATATATATATATATATATATATATATATATAACTTATTATATATTGTACAGGAGTTTCTTCCCTCGTGGCTTTCTATGGGACGAGGGTTTTCACAATCTTTTAATATCGACCTGGGATTTGGATATATCTCTTGATATCATGGAGCATTGGTTTGATTTAATGAATGTTGAAGGATGGATACCTCGAGAGCAGATTCTAGGTAAATTGTTAAAGACATAATATATAAATCAATAGCCATACATTTTTTTCTTTGTTAAAATTCATATTTAAATCTCAATTGAGATTTAAGAAATAATTTATTAAAGACTATAGTCTATATCTATATCTTCATAAAGATATACAATACATGTTATGCAAAAACATATTAAAATCCCAATTGAGATTATACTTCAATAATCTCAATTAATTGAATTGAATCTCAATAATTTATTACAGACTAAATATATATAATAAATCTATTTGTTCTTTTTCTGTAAAATTATATTAAAATCTCAATTAAGACTACTCTTTATTAAATAATTTATTAAAGAGTAATGGTATATAATATTAACTAATTTGTTTTTTATTTAAATTAAATTAAAATAGTATTTAAATTAAGAACTAAAAAATTAGATTATTCTTCAATGAATAATTTATTAACTAAAAATAAACATAATATAGCTATATGTTTTTGTTATTAAAATAATATTTAAAAATCACATTAGATTATTATTTAATAAATAATTAATTTATTAAAGTCTAAAGATATATAATATAGCTACATATTTAGATTTCACTTGAAATTATATTCAATTAATTATTAATTAATTATTTATGATAAGGTTGATTCAAATTCCAAATAAGATTTTTTCAATAAATTTGTTTTTTTTCTAGGATCTGAAGCCCTAAGCAAAGTCCCTGATGAATTTGTAACACAACGTAACACAAATGCAAATCCACCAACATTCTTTTTAACTTTAAAATCTATTTTGGAAAATTATTCAGAAAAATTAATGGAGGATTCAAGATTGCAACGATTGGAGAGATTGTATCCACGATTACAGGTTTTGAATGTTTTTATATTATTATTATTATTGAAAAAGATAATTTAAAATAGTTAGCAAGGCTTGATTTTTTACTAATGTTTTTATTCTGTGATCTGTTTATACAAAATTATGAGTTAAAAATATGCATAGAAAAGAAAACACTGTTATTATATATTAGTGAAAACACTGTTATTATATCTGATATTACTACCATCAGATAATTTACTATTAGTACAAGATAAAATAGTAGCCCAAAATAGTGTTTATATATGTGGGCATCAAATATATTAATATGTAAAATATAATAAATAAATTATAATGAAAAGAAAATCAATATAATAAATGAGATCTGTGGGTAAAATGGGTTTAGATATATAAAACAGAAATATTTATCAATTTCTCAATTACAGGCTTGGTTCAATTGGTTTAACACAACGCAAAAAGGTGAAATGAGTGGCTCTTATCGCTGGAGAGGTCGAGACTCAAACACAAGGAAAGAACTTAACCCGAAGACTCTCACTTCAGGTTAAAAAATACAAATAGATTTTTTGCATATATATTTGTCGACAATCTACTACATTTTAAGTCAATTTATACTATTTTCAGATGATTTATAACATTTTCAGGCAATTTACAACATTTTCAGACAATGTACAAAATTTAACGACATCTTTACTAAATTTTTAGATAAACTACAACATTTATAGATAGCTTCACCAAATTTTTAAACAATTTACAGCAATTTCAGTTGATTTATGACATTTTCAGATAATTTTCATCTTTTTTAGACAATCTACAACATTTTTAGATAATCGACAACATTTTCAAAATACTAACAACGTTTATAGGCAATCTACAACATATATCAATATTTTATAATATTTGCAGATAATGTACAAACATTTGATGAAATGTTTACCAAATTTTTAGACAATCTACAACATTTTTAGATAATTTACAACATTTTCAGTAAAAATACAACATTTTCAGATACTCTACAACATTTTCAGACGATTTGGAACATTTTCAAACAATCTGCGAGATTTTTAGACAATTTACAACATTTTCAGACAATCTACAACATTTTTAGATGATTTACAACATTTTCAGTAAAAATACAACATTTTCAGACAATCTGGAACATTTTCAGATAATTGGCAAGATTTTTAGACAATTTACAACATTTTCAGACAATCTACAACATTTTCAGACAATTAACAATATTTATAGACAATTTACAATATTTATAGATTGTTTACAACATGTTGTTGCAAGATTTTTAGACAATTTGCAAGATTTTTAGACAATCTACAACATTTTCAGACAATCTACAACATTTTCAGAAAATTTACAATATTTATAGACAATTTACAATATTTATAGATTGTTTACATGTTGTTGCAAGATTTTTAGACAATTTGCAAGATTTTTAGACAATTTGCAACATTTTCAGACAATCTACAACATTTTCAGACAATTTACAACATTTCAGACAATCTACAACATTTTCAGACAATCTACAATATTTTCAGACAATTTACAACATTTTCAGACAATCTACAACATTTTCAGACAATTTGCAACATTTTCAGACAATCTACAACATTTTCAGACAATTTACAACATTATAGATTGCTTACAACATTTATGGAAACTCCACAACATTTTTAGACAATTTACAACATTTGTAACCAATTATTATAAATATTTCATTTATTATTATTTCAGGTCTTGATGACTACCCAAGGGCTTCTCACCCCGATGACACCGAAAGGCACTTAGATCTCCGTTGCTGGCTTGCCTTAGCCTCATCAGTCCTCTGCGACTTAACACAACTGCTTGGTTTAAATGCTGAAAAGTATCAGCAAACATACGAAATGCTTTCAGATCAAAACGATATGGACAAACTGCACTGGTCACAAAGCAGCGAAAGATATTCTGATTACGGTTTGCATTCTGATAATGTGGAATTGAGGAGGGATAAAGTCACTACAAATAGTCAAGGGCAGATCGTGCAAAGCGAAAAGGTAAAGGAAATGTGGAAATTTGAAAATATCAAATGGTTGTTTTTGAATAACTTTAATATGTCTTTTATCAAGGTGCGTGTGACTCTGAAGCAGCCTACTCATCGTTTTGTGGACTCAGCATTTGGCTACAACAGTTTGTTTCCATTGATTTTACAAATTTTGCCATCGAATTCTCCAAGGTTGAAAAAAGTTATAGAGGATGTGTATAATCCACAATTGTTGTGGTCGCCTCATGGTGTTAGAAGCTTGTCGAAAAGTTCTCCTTTGTATAAGGCTAGGAATACTGAACACGATCCACCTTATTGGAGAGGCCAGATTTGGCTGAATATTAATTATTTGCTTGTGAAAAGTTTGTATCATTATGGATATGCTGATAGCAATACAGGAGGTAAAGCAAAAAACCAATTTTTCATATAAAGTGTTTATATTTTTGTGTATTATATATGTGATTGTGTTTTTTTTTTAGGTGAAACAAAACAATTAGCTCAGAAAGTATACAAAGAGCTTCGAGAAAATTTAATTCAAACCGTCTACAAAGAATATGAGAGAACTGGTTACATTTGGGAGCAATACGATGATAATACTGGACAAGGTAAAGGCTGTAAGCCTTTTAATGGCTGGACAGCCTTGATTACACTCATTATGGCCGAGAAATATTAGATTTTTGTGATTTCTTTATTAAAGAGTAAGTATGCAATATGTTTGAATGATATATTTAGAAATAGTTGCAGAATGTGTATATATCAGATGAATTATTAGAACTTGAAGTTTATAATCAAATTTAATTAAAACTTAATATATTAATGAAACTCTTCAATAAATGACCAAGAATTAAGTAGTTGTAATAACATAATAAATTTAATAGCATATTTACTTTAAAAGAATACTTAAAAACTAAGTATTCTTTAAGAATTATTTATTTAGTAAAATTTCTATAAACTAATGAGGTTTCTGCATGTTTTTTGTTAAATAAACTTGGAATAAATAAATACATTTTTGTAAAATTTAAAAATTAATTTTAATGCTAGTCTTTGAATATTTTTTATAATTTTGTAATAAAAACTACATTTGTCATAGTTTTGATTATAATTACTTGCTACTTGCTCTCAATTTTTAATGTATTTTAAATTTATTTAAATTATTAATTCTTATTAATGTTAATTTAATTCTATTAAAAATAATTTTATTCTATAAATTTTTATGAGACTGCTTAAAATGTTTAAATACTAGATCAATAAAATATACTGCTGATATTAGTTTTAAGCAAAATTTATCGCACAAATAGAATGTATCTTCAGAAAATTCTAAACTTTCTAATAAGTAATATTAAATTTAAATATTTAGAGTAACATAATAGAAATTCAAATACTTAGAATAACATAACTAAACATTAATCAAGTCTAATTATATTTATAATCAATAGAAGGTAATTGAGTACAAATGTAAAAGAGTAATATGAAATATAATTGATACAAATGTGTATAATAGTTTAATTAATTATTTTTAAAGATGAAATAAAGCTTATAATTAAATATTTTTCATTAGAATTATTAGTTCTTGTTTTAAATTTGAATTTACCGGTCACGCTCTTTATCATGAAGTTAGCACTTTGAGTTTCACTACCACCAAAACACTTTTAATGTTGGCAATAATTTGACAATTATGACTTTGTGCAAATTTTGAGTAAATATTAACACAAGTTTTTTCGATATTTTTTTACTGTTCAAACATTTTTTAATTGTTTATACCAAATATATTTAACAAAATCAATACACATTTTATTAATTTTTAAATACCTTTTCAATTACAAAGTGCGTTTGTAGGGTTACTCACAAACTCTAGTGCAGCTGTCAAAAATATGAGTAGTCTTCAGTAAAACTGAATCGGAAGTTGTATTTTGGTTAAAGGACCTTATAATGGATGTTATAAATAAACTATATTCGTCTGTTAGTAGTACAGTTTCGCAATTGTCAGGAGTTTTGCCCGGAAATCCGGTCACCAGGGAATTTGAGGCTACTGAACATATAGCCAGTGCAGGACCTGGTAATAATTGAAATATAATTAGAATAGATTTTGTTTATTCATATTATTTATACTTCTTAAGCCAAATTTGGTGAAAGTGGTATAATGGATTTTAATGAAAGTATCAATGCCAAATTTAGAAAGTACAATAACACTTTTACAAGTGTTGCATACAACTATTAAAATGTTTATTTTTCTCAATGTTTCATTTTCCTCTAGGTTTACTATGGAAAATATACCGCGGTTACAAAAAATCAACAAAACAATCATGCTCCATATTCGTCTTGGAAAAAAAGCAACTAGACAACTTATCAAGAGATGAAAAAGAATATATTTTAGATACTATGAAGCGAGGAATAACTCAACTTACTAAAATCCGGCATCCAAATGTTTTAACAGTGCAGCATCCTTTGGAAGAAAGCAGAGAAAGTCTGGCTTTTTGCAACAGAACCTGTGTTTTCAAGTCTGAGTAATTTATTAGACAAAGGGGTTGGAGGGAATAGTAATAATATGCCACAGCCAGTACCAAAAGGTAATATATATAAATATATACTAGATGACCCAAGACTACAATTTTTTAATATCTTATATTAATATTTACTGTTTACCTAAAAATAATTATTGTTTTTTAAATTACCCTTCACACCAAATGCATATACATCAATATAAGTGATGTTAAATAAAGAACTGCTATAAATAAAACGATGAGTCTCAATTCCCACACTAAATTGCAAATTGAAGTCTTAATTAATAAAAATTAATATATTGTGTCCGCGATAAAAGTACAAAATTGGATTTGTATCTTGGATTTTTTCACCCAAAATAATTCTTCAATAACGTTTGCCTATAATTTTTATAATCCTGTATCATATTTGAACTGGTTTTTGGTAATTATAATATCTACATTATATTTTTCTTAGTTATAATTTAATATACATTATTACCTGCTCCTGGGGTCCTCAGCGACTGCATGCCAATTTTTTTCTAGCGTTTTTTCTTCCTATAATTTTACCTTTTTTTTTTAACAAACTCTAGTGTTTTTTTAATAGTTTATTATTAAAATTATTATTATTAATTAATATTTGGCTTTTGAAACATTTTACTTATTCATTTTGGGCATTTTATGCGATTTATTCTATTGAGCAAATCATAGAGAAAAAAAATTCTAGCCTTTCATTATTAAACAAAACCATAACATAACACTTCTTGTTGGATTATATTAATTTAATTTTTTATTATTTAGAAAGTCCAAAATTGCATCTTAAACTTCTTCTAATTGATATCGTAAGGACCAAGTTGTATGTATTCATCTTTACTTTCAGAACCAACCCTAATTATTACTTAATTTTATATTTTAGGTGAATTAATTTGTCAAATCCTGTACATATGTGTATCATTCAATCTCTCATACATATGCTGTGTCTTATATTATTTTAATTTCTGGCACATCTCAGCTGCTTTTTGGCAATAATAATGTAGACATTTAATTTTTCTTATTCATAATCACGAATTTATTATACATATTCTAATATTGTCTAGGCTCATAAGTAAATTGAAATTTTTGGCATGACAGTTTTTATTTGTTTTCAATGCCAAACAATGTTTCAAATGTTTTCAATGTCAAATAATGACATGTCATTTTTTTGCAGTTTTTTTATTTATTTATGCAATATCACTATATTTTTATAATCACATACTTCTTAGAAAATTCCCTTAACAAACTTCAGAAAGATTTATCAAAATACGAATAATCGTTTAGGAGGAGTATATTTACATACATAATTACAGAAGAATTATATATATATATATATATATATATATATATATATATATATATCTTCTATATATATAAAAATAAGTCGGGTTTTCCTTCCTGACGATATAACTCCAGAACGCACGAACCGATTTCGACAATTTTGCATTCGTTGGAAAGGTCTCGGGCTCCGCAAGGTTTATAGCTAAGAAAATTAGTTGTGCATGGCATCGTGCCTTAATGTAAGCTGCTGGAACTTCACGCACCGTAATTAAAAATTCGAGTAATGACATTAGTGAGAATTATCAGAATTATGCTTGGTTAAGTCAACGAGCAATTCTTGTCGCAAAGAATATTGCTGTACAGTGTACACGCACTGAATTTCACCATTCAATCAAAAATTGCTGGCGATTTGGTGACATACCAATGATTCCGACTGGCCTTTCGTTTGACTTCAAACGATTGCAATTTCCACTTCGCGTTGCATTCGCAATAACAAGTCGCAAGGCCAATCGCTTAGTCTTGACGGGATAAATTTCAAATAGATTATTTAGAAAATCATTGTTTTTCACATGGGCAGTTATACGTTGCCTGTTTAAGAGTTGGAAAACCATCCGCTTTGTTTGTGTTAACGTCAGACCAAAAAACAAAAAATGTGGTTTACCAAAGAGCACTTCAATGAAACGGATAATTTGCGAATTCATTTACATTTACTTAGAGAAGTTCAACTTAAAAAACACTTCATTTTTGTAATCGAAATAAATTCATTACTGTTGTGTAATAAAATCAAATTTTTCCTTTTCAAATATAAAACAAACAAAAAATTTCTTCATCTTTCTCACGAAACCATCTGGTGGCGAAACGGAGTTCGTCGGGTTTGCTAGTATATATATATATATATATATATATATATATATATAAATGCATCGAAATTTACAAATTATTATTGTTGTCTTTTCTAGGTATAGCAAGTTACAAGCTCTACGACGTAGAAATCAAATACGGCTTACAACAAATCTCAGAAGGTCTCATTTTCTTACACAATGACATGAAAATGCTGCACCGGAACGTCCAGCCTGAATGCATCATTGTAAACCACATGGGCGCTTGGAAACTATTCGGCTTTGAATACTCAATAATAGGCCAACAAACATCTAATGAAAACACAATACAATTTCCATTCAGAGAATACAATACTTATGTAAACAAACTCAACGAACCCTGTTTGAAATTCTTGGCTCCTGAATGCCATTTAATCAAGTCTGTTAGTCAATCCAGTGATGTGTATTCTCTGGGTGTTTTGTGTTATGAGTTGTCCAGGAAGAGTAAATCCGATAGCGGGGACTTTGAATACAAAGATTTTAATAAAATCAAAAGTTTGATGATTATATAAAAAAATTTGCAATGAGTTTGAAACGAGGTGTGCCCAGTTGGATTGTCTTGGTGGATGAATCGTTGAGGGATTATGTTAAGCTGATGTTGCATCATACACCGGAGATGAGACCGGAGTTAACGATTTTTAAAGGTAATGAAGCAACAAATATAATACTTTGTTTTTATATTATGTTATCAATTTTTATAGTATTTTATTTTAGATTCCATACTTTGATGACATTGGTGTGAAAACATGAGTTATCTGGATTCCTTATTCCAATGGGACAATTTACAAAAATCAAAATTCTACAAAGGGTTACCTCAAATTTTGCAAAAGTTGCCTCCAAGAATTTGCATTTACCGAGTGTTTACCATCGCTTGTTAAAGAGTTTGTTAAATCCACATATGGTAATATAAATATTAACTAAAATGGATTATTAGATTCTTGAAAAGTTCAGAAATATAAATTCAAAATTAGTAGGACGCATGTCATCGTGCCTTAAGGCAAATTGCTGGAACTTCCCGTATAAAATTTTTTTTTTTAAAAGGATTATTTGACTTTTTTTTGAAAAAAAAAGACTTTTTGAAGCAAAATTTATTTTGAAATATTTTGGAAATTCAGAACTTTTTTTCAAAGCAATCGTAATGCTTTAACTGCATAGCTCCGCGTCGCCGTCTAACGGATAAATATTGGTACGGAACCGATAGGAATATAAACAAAATTTATACTTATTGTTAAAATCTCTATAAAATATCTGATAATTTGATGTGCATATGTCTAATGATCATTTTTGACTGCCAAATGGCATTTTTTTTACTTTTTTTACTAGATCTTCGAAACCGCTAGACCTGCCTTCATAAAATTTGATCGGTTCTTCACCTTGTCAATACAAGTGAAATATTTATTGATTTATTCAAATCGGACGCTCCGTTCTCTGAAAAACTGGTTTACTGTTTTTGGCACTTTTTGCCCCATATCTTTGGAACGGCTAGACGTTAATCAGCACGTTTCCTTATCAATACGAATCGAATGTTTTTTGAATTATTCAAATCGCTTCATCCGTGTTCCCGAAATCGTCGACGAAAATTCGTATCCGAACACACACACATACACGCACACATACACACACACACATACATCCATTTTTTCTAAGGTATGCCAAAATGTTAAAAAGGTTTTGAAACGTAAAAATATATAAAAATTTTCATTTTCGATTTTTTTTTTCCGATTACTATAACTTGCCCTACGGGACTTAATAAAAATTATGTAGTCTTAAAAAATAACAGCAATCAGTTGAGAATTTAGATTTTGAACGCAGTTTCTTCTATAATAATAATATTACTTTACAGAATCTGTTTTAACAGTTATAATTATTTTTATTAGGTGCCTTTTGTGTTGCCAAATATTTTATTAATTGCCGAAATATGTTGTACCCGTGAAGAATTTTCAAAATATATCTTGGTACATTTGAAGCCGGTTATGAAACTGCAGGAGCCTATACAGATTTTGCTGATATTCATGCAGAAAATGGAATTGTTGCTGAAACTGACATCACCGGAAGATGTTAAGAGCGATGTTCTGCCAATGCTGTACAGGTGAGTAAAAAGTGAAATATATATCTTCTTATATATAAAAATGGAACTCTCGATCAAATGATCCTCTAAAACTCGAAAACGGCTAAACCGATTTGGCTAGTCTTAGTCTTGAAAAATTCGTGCTAATCGGTAGGTTGTCGGAAAGGTGAGATATTATTTTGAAATCGCATAGAAACTTTACATTTTTAATCTGAAAATTTTTGTAGAATCGTAATTTAAATAAAACGATGGGCGGTGGCTAATACGTGAAATGTCAAACGTTTTGACCAGTAAAGTTAAGCATTGTTTAACAACAATATTTGAAAGTAGAGGGAAAAATGTATAACCAGCTATAACCTTGATTCTTATGACTTTACTATCGGGAGATAAACGGTAATCTTTGAAAATCCATAATAAAAGTATTTTCTTCCCTTGGTAGTTTTTTAGCATTAGTTAAAAATGTAATTATTTTGTAAAATACCTTTAAAATTAAAATAAGACAGGTCTAGATAACAAATTTTTGAAAGACAGTAAAAAAGCACATTTCTACAATGATGAAGTAGCTGACAGTTTTACTGAACGTAGTCAGATAATTGTTCAGTTGAAATGTGTTATTTGTTGTGATATAATTGTTATTGCTCAAAGTCAAATTGGACCTTTGTGCCTCGCCCTGCTCCACATGTATACTGTTTATTAAATTTACTTTAATTTATCAAATGTTGCTTGAAACTTTTCAAAAAGCAGGTCAAAGAAGAAATAATAATATATAATATAATAAATACTTAATCCATTTTCTAACTCTTCTCGTAGAAATTTGCGAATTTTGTATAAGCTCAGTAGTATTATTTACAATTATACACAAAATTCAGAATCCAAAAAGAATCTGAAAAACTTGAAACGTAATTAATAAGTCGAAAGACCAATAAAGACTTGGATGGATTATACTATGTTTTCTAAAGAAAGTGTATAAATCTTCCAGTTTGATTGTATTGACAAAATATAGACAAATTAATAAGGTTTATTGTTTTTATAATACTTCATTGTATATTGTATTCAAACAACACATCTTCATACACTTAGTATTACTATTTTTGATTCTCTAAAAATTGTTTAGAATATACCTTACTTAGCAAAACAACGTTTGCCGGGTCAGCTAGTATATATATATATATATATATATATATATATATATATATATATATATCAATTATTCTTTACCAGGGCTTTAGAACCAACATCAACTCAACAAATCCAAGAACTATGCCTCACCGTTCTCCCAACATTCTCAAATCTAATCGAGTACAGTGCAATGAAAACTCAGTTTTGCCAAGAATCAAAAAAATATGCTCAACAACCGATAAACTATCTCTACGAGTCAATTGCTTGCTGTGTTTAGGAAAATTATTGGGAGATCTTGATAAATGGCTCGTCCATGATGAGGTGTTGCAATATTTGCCAAGTTTGAACTCAAGGGAACCTGCAGTCGTCATGGGAATTTTAGGTAAAGATAGATAACAGATATATATATATATATATATATATATATATACATATATATATACATATATATCTGTTATCTATCTTTTTATCTATTTATCTATTTATATAATATAAATAGTTTATCTATTTATATAATATAAATAGTAAAGCAAAACATATATATATATATATATATATATATATATATATATATATAAAGCAAAACATATATATATATATATATATATATATATATATGTTTTGCTTTACTATTTATATTACATTTTTCAGGTATTTACAAATTGGCTCTGAACCACAACAAATTAGGCATTTCCAAAGAGTTATTAGCAAGTAAAATAATTCCATTCCTGGTGCCGTTGAGTATAGAAAATGGTTTATCGTTGAACCAGTTTGAAGCTGTTACCAGTTTGATCCAGGAGATGATTGCTAAAGTCACGAGTGAACAGAGGGAGAAACTGAAACAGATACACGGATTGAGAGACGAAACCAAGTAAGAGGAATAAATGATTAATTTTTATCAATTTGTAATTTTTAATTTTGTTTTTTTTTTTCAGAACATTTGATATGTCCGCTCTAACCCAGTCACCAAATGCATTAGTTCCAACAAGTTTAGAGCCAAAAACTAAAGAATCAGATAAAACTTTCTCAAATCTGGGACTTGATGATTATTTGACGTCAATGGAAAACTTAGGCAATGATAAAGCTGCAGTTAATAATAAAAATGATACAAGTTTACTCGATTGTTCTGGTAGAGATAAGAGTTTGTCTTTGCAAGATAAACAGAGGTAAGATAGATGATAATCAATTATTTATATTTAAGATCATTATTATTTTATTAATGCATGGAGTCTAATTTTGTAAATACATTAATTATAATTATTGAAGTGAAATTTCTAATGTGACAACATTGCAATAAATTTTTAACGCTCTTGAGGAGGGGAATAGGAACAGACAATCTCTTGACAATGTTGTAGATTGTCTAAAATATTGTAAATTGTTTGAAAATGTTGTGAATTGCCGGAAAATGTCGAATGTGTATGAAAATGTGGTAACTGGTCTAAAAATGTTGCATACTGTCTGAAAATATTGTCAGAAATTATTGTTGATTGTCTGAAAATGTTGTAACTGCTCTAAAAATGCTGAAAACTGGCTGAAAATTTAGTAAATTGTTTAAAAATATAGTAAGTTGTCTGAAAAATGTTATAATTAGTCTGAAAATTGCGTAGATGGTTTAAGAATTTTGTGAATTGTTTGAAAATGTTATAGATGGTTTGGAAATTTTGTAAATTGTCTGAAAATGTTGTAACTGGTCTGAAAATGTTGCAAATTGTTTGAAAATGTTGCAACTGGTCTGATATTGTTGTAATTTGTCTGAAAATGATGTGACTGGACTGAAAGTCTTACGAATTGTCTGAAAATGTTGTAAATTGTCTGAAAATATTGTAGATTGTCTGAAAATATTGTAGATGGTCTGAAAATGTTGTAAATTGTCTGAAAATGTTGTGAATTATCCGTAAATGTTGTAACTTATCTGAAAATGTTGTAACTTATCTGAAAATGTTGTAACTTGTCTGAAAATATGGTAAATTGTCTGAAAATGTTGTAACTTATCTGAAAATCTTGTAAGTTGTCTTAAAATGTTGTAACTTGTCTGAGAATATTGTAAATTGTCTGAAAATGTTGCCACTGGCTTGAATATGTTGTAACTGGTCTGAAAATGTTGTAAATTGTCTGAAAATATGGTAAATTGTCTGAAAATGTTGCAAATTGTCCGAAAATATTGTAAATTGTCTGAGAATGTTATAAATTGTCCGAAAGTATTGCAAATAGTCAAGATGTCTTATAATTTTGTCAAATGATTAAGAATGAATTATAATATAATATAATCTAAAATTCTGGTCTGAAAATGTTGTAAATTGTCTAAAAATATTGTAAATAATCTGAAAATGTTGTAACTTGTCTGAAAGTGTTGTAAATAGTCTGAAAATTTAGTAGATTGCCTGAAAATGTTGCAGATTTCCTAAAAAGTTGTAGAGTCCCTGAAAATGTTGTAGATGGTCTGAAAATGTTATCAATTGTCTGACATTGTAATAAGTAGTTTGAAAATGTTGTAACTGGTCTGAAAATGTTGCATATTATCTGAGAATGTTGTAAGTTGTCTGAAAAAAAAATAGATAAGATTTCTTGTAATTTTGCAAAAGGTTAAGAATGACTTGAAACGTCTAATTGTCTGCCCAAAACAAATTTCTTCTTTCGGAAGTTGAAAATATGCATCATTTATCATTTTAGAATTGTGTCACAACAAGAATTCGCCCAAAAAATGAGATCTCAACCAGCAATTCTCCAACCACAAAATCCAATCTCAAAACCAACAAACGAAGCAACAAATTTAATGGATTCGAACTTAAGCCAAATGTTCAACCAGCAAACAAAACTATCAACAACAACAACGACAGCAACACAACCAAATTACAACCAAAACTCCTGGAGCAGCAACATCAACCAAAACTTCACCATGAATGGTACCAATTTTCCAAACCAGAACATGGTCAGTAACCCTAATTTTAATCAACAACCAAATTTCATGGGTAACCAGAATTTCACAACCAATTTCCAAAAGCCTAATTATAATATATCGACGAGTACGATGAATCAGAGTTTTATGAATTCTAGTTTTACGAAAAATGGTTCTATGGCAGCTTTCGATAGTTTATTAACGTCTCCGACGAATTCTAATAATAAAATACCTATGAATAGTATGCAAACTAATTCTATTAACCAGAATTTTATTAAAAGTAATACCGAGACGAAAAGTTTGACAAAGGAGGATATTTTTGATTTACTTAGCTAATATTATTATAGATTCATATTTTATGATGCAATTGTTAATAAAAAAGATAATTTAATATATTAATTTATTAAGAATTGCGTGAACTATTGGAGTCTTTAAAAATTTGGTATGTATAGTAGTTCCTTACTTTTGTGATTTTTGACTGTCATTATTTCAATGTGTTGTTTTAAAACTATCTATAATGCTTAAGTACTTAAATGAAAGTTTATTTATTAGTTTATTATCATATATATAAAATTAATACAAAATATATCATGTCTTTGAATATATTTCACTCATTAATATAATTATAAATATTTATGTGAAAATAAGGAGTTTAAAAAGAATATTTTTCAAGAAATTCTATGAAAGTAATTATTATATTAATTTTAATAGACTTAATTTAGATTTTAACGAATTTTATTATAAATATTTTAGATGTTTACATATTTTATTATAATTTTTTAAAATTATCATGTTATCGATATTATTATAAACTGTTTTGAAATTGTACATTCCATGTTAAGCATTTTAAATGTAAATATATATATTTATATATATATATATATATATATATATATATATATAAATATATATTTAAATAAACATATTTAATCTTTTGAACAATTTCATATAATATAAAATCAATTTCTATTTATTTAATTATGTATATATGATAAAGTATATAATATAACTGTTATAAAATAGTAAAATATTTTTATATATTTACAAGTATATACAGTACAACCCCGTTATGACAATTTCTCAGTGAGCGATTGAAAAGCGTCTTAAACGGGATAGAGACAATTTTATTATCGTCTTGACGGGGTTCTATTGTACTTACAATTAGTCTAATGACAACTTTTTTACAGTTACAACGATATCAAATAGAACTATGTAAAATTTTATGTAAGTATTTTGTTATTAAAATGTAATATCAAACTTTAATTTAAGCAGTCTTGATAACTCAAATATCTTGAAAAACTTATTATTATTAATAGATGTATCAATTTTAGGTTGATGGATTTATAAAACACATGTAGTGCTCAGCATAGTCTATTGATGTTTTTATAGAAGTTTTAAGAAGACGAAAGGAACAGAAATTCAATTTGGTGGTTAATTGAAGTTGATTGGAGTTAAAAATACGATTAACGAAGGTATGAATATTAATATATTTAATTAAATTGTAACAAAATAAATATAAATGCAATCCATAACATTGAAATGAAAACAATGTGAAATTTACAAGGTATTCATAACTTCAAAGTTCTACAAATTATTAATATAATTTTGTTCCAACAGTTATAAATTTTTGTACACAGATTTATGGATGGTTTTATACACTTTTTAATAATCTATCCTAATATATAATAACAGAGACAAATTTGAACAAAATTATACTAAATATGAAAAAAGGTCAGCACTGAAATCAACAAAAGTTGTAACAAAATAAATATAAATGTAATCCAAAACATTAAAGCGAAAGAAATGTGAATTTGCGAAGTATTCATAATTTCAAAATTCAACAAATTATTTTAATATAATTTTGTTCCAACAGTTAAAAATTTTTGTACACAGATTTATGGATGGTTTTATACACTTTGTAATAATTTATCCTAATATATAATAACAGAGACGAATTTAAAAAAAAATATACTAAATATAAAAAAGGTGAGCAATGAAATCTGACTATAAAATAATTAACAATAAAAAGCAGACAATATATTTCTATAGTAGAACAATTGTTACAACTGACAAAAATTTTCATATTTTTATTTTGTTTATTTTTTTTATTCATATTTTATATTACTATAATAGGACAATCATGGTTACAATTGACGAAATTTTTCATATTAACTTTTCATTAACAGTCATTAACTTTTTTCTAGACTACTCTTACTTGCTCAAAGCTCGTATCTCAAATTTTACTCGCATATCGAAGCAACAAATCGCTCCTTTGGCAACTTGAATCTCAAAACATTTGTATAACAGGTACATGTAATTTGGGATACCACTGTACCTATTCATTTTTGCATTCATATCATCTATTTTACTCAGTTGCTGCCCAACTAATACATTTATCAATTATAATTATCTGTTATTACTATGTTCGACTAATAGTCAATTGGCTGCTAGGATGTTTGTTAAACTTGAACCAAATTCGAAACATCACAAAACTACCATAAAGCATTCCTATAGAAATATTTACAAACGATGCCACTCTGTAATAAGAATCTATATAATTGTTGTGTCCAAAAGTTGCAAAAACCAGGCACAAGGCGTAGATCGTGGTCAGGATCGTCCTGGATTTGTTCAGATCCTGAAAAGGAAAAAGAATAATGAATAAAGTTAAGGGACTGGATTTCCAACTTGTGTCCCAGGTTTTTCTAAAAGCCATATTTGTCCCGGATTGTCCCGAGTATTAATAGAACTAGTTGGTTTGGTATTTAGCCTTGAGGCAAGTTACATGAACTTCCCGATATGTGTCAATAATCGACTTAATCAAAAAAAAATGTGTAAATAATATACTTCATCAATCCTACTTTAAAAAAAAACGATAATAATTTTAGCAAACTTTGACGAATTTGTAAAATTTAACTACTTGTCGTAAGGCCGTAACATTACAGTAAGTTCTATAAGACCACGATGAATATCGCCAAAAAAAGTTCCATGAACATCGGCTTAAATTTTTTTCAACAGTTAATTACAAGAAAACGGCTCGGTAGATTTTCACCTAAAATTAATCAGTATCATTCCCAACTAATATCTTTCGAACAGTTTTTGATTTTTTAAAATCGGTTCGGTAGGATGAGCTTAAATGTAGACGAAAAGTTTAACACTTTTTTTCGAATTACAAAGAAACGGCTTGTCAGATCGTTGCACAAAACTGACAAACAACTCGTCGAGATACATCGAATGGCTTTTAAATTTTTGAAGTCGACCCAGCCGTTTTCGAGAAAACGTCGATTTACGGCAAAAAATCTGTTCACATACACACACACACACACGCACACACACACATACTTTTTCCAAATTTGGTCTCATTCGATTCAGAATGGCTTGAAACGTCGAGAAAACATAAAATTAGCAATTCGGATTTTTTGATGAAAACAAACTCCTTCGGGAAGTTAATTAACAAAATTATGGAAACAAACGAACAAGTATTATTTTTAAATTAAATAAGAAAAAAAAATGAATGGAATTAAATAGAAATAGAAGACTCCCCAGTTCCTGATTAGCATTACCAAAATTGCCGTCCTGGTTTTGACTTAAAAAAATATGGTCATCTTAATAAAGTAGATGTGATGTGATATCTATTTACCTGGATTTCCAAGTAGTCGTTTATGGCAGCTCGACTTAAACTGGTGGAGCAAGATATGCAGAAACTTGCTATTAAAGTTATGACCAGGATGGTCATGGTGTTGTAGACTTTTGTCACTTCTGAAAATATAATAAAGGCTAGTAGTCAAAGAAATACTGTCAATTCAGGCCAAAACAAGAATTGGATGGATCATCTCTAAGAATTTCTTCAGGTACTTATTTTTATTATCATTTATCTCATTTACCGTAAAGTGCCATCGATGCCAACATGCAAAACACAGACAAATAAACCAGCCTCATATTTGCAGACATTTTGGACAACTTCGAAATCAGTACATTGCCACTCATCCCGATTATGGAGGCTGCCAGATAAAAAGTGATGCAAAGGACTATCGGTAGTCCAGCCCTTAGCAGAATCGATGGCAGCAAAATCCAGAAAAATAAGGGCATCAGACGCTGGTACAGATATAATACCAGACTTGGGTAGAAGGATGGTTTCTTGAAGACTGTGAACTCTTCGCAGAACTTGGAGCAGCATTTTTGGTTCCTGGGGGTAAAAGGGGTAAAAAATTTTACAAGAAATCTGGACGAATAGTCAGGTCAGTTGATTTTTATTTTTTTTTTTATCATACCTTGGTCGATTTTGACGGCTGTTGAATTCCAATTGATTTTCTGAATAAATTGGCTGAGGTTCTGTGATGCTACCATTTCTGCAAAATTAAATATAGAAAGGTTTAAGTACTGATAGGCAGTGGCGTCGGAACCGTGTGGAATGTGTGGGCTTGAGCCCACCCATGAATTTTGATGGGGGGGGGGCTCAGCCCACCCATTAATTTCAAAAAATTATATGGGCTAATATCTCTAAAAAAAAACGAGCCCACTGGCTGTCTATCAAAAAAAAAAAAACGAGCCCACCCATCAAAAGTTTGGTTCCGACGCCACTGCTGATAAGTGTAGTTATTTTTTAACTTCCCGTAGGGTAGATATAGTAATGGGCCGAAAATCGAAAATGAAAATTTTTGCATTTCTCGACGTTTTGAAGGTTTCTGAACATTTTAGGGCATACCTCAGAAAAAATGAATGTGTGTGTGTGTGTGTGTGTGTGTGTGTATGGATACAAATTTCCAGTCACGTTTTTGGGCGCGCGGATCAACCGATTTGAATGGTTCAAAAACATTCGATCCCTATTGATAGGGAGATGTGCTGATTAGTTTTTGGCAAAGGCAGGTCCAGCCGTTACGGAGATACGGAGCAAAGGGTGCAGAAAATAGAAATCGAGTTTTTGAGAGAACGGAGTATCGGATTTGAATGATCTAAAAACATTCAATTTGTAATGATTGGGAGAAGAGGTGATTAGTTTTTGGCAAAGGCAGGTCTCGCCATTTTGAAGATACACAGCTAAATGTGCAAAAAATGGCAGTTTTTGAGTGAACTAAGCGTCCGATTTGAATGATCTAAAAAACTTTCTGCTTGTATTGACAAAACAATTGCTTTTGAGGATAAAAAATTATTACATCCTTTTTTATTTTCCATAAAATATTTTTGTAATTTTGGATTAAAAATTTAAAAAATGACCCAGGCTAAGCACAGTCTAAGCGCCACTCTGGTACAAATGTTTATCCAAGTGCTTTTAGACTGTTTATGTAAAGGAGCACTTTTCCAATTTTGTGAAAACTATTGAAAAATGTGAAAATACCGCCAAGCTAAGCACAGCATAAGTGAAAATGTCGCACAGAATTATTTGCAAATGCGTTTAGACTGTGACTGTGCGGGAGCACTTTTTTCAATTTCGTGTAAATTGGCAACTATTTTTTTTTTTGAAATTGAATTCGAAATGAAATGACGATTGTTAATGTTCCTGGAGATAAATTGATTTATGATTTACATTTGATTTGCTCAGATATATACAAGATAGCAAAGTAATGAAAGTTACAGCATTTGTAATAATATATTTGAAAACGTGTAAAATTCCTCGAATATTTCAGTGCGGTACGGGAAGTTCAAGCAATTTGCCTTGAGACACGATGCCATACACCCCTAGTTTTTTATTACCTTTGGCTGGTACTGGCAACTCCAGAAAACGTCGCCATCAGCCTACTCCTTGCAGTATTATCCACAATCTTCAACTTTTTATCCACAGGTTTTTTGGTACTATCAGCACTAGCTAAATTATTAGCAGTTTCTGCAATAAATTTGGCCCTATCGCCACTTTTATTACTGCCAACTTTTGTTGGAACTTCCTCGATTTTGGTCTTTCCGTACTCGTAAATCACTTGGTCACCAGTTTGATTTGTGGTAGTCTCATTTTCTATAACATAAACATCATCTGGTTCATTGAAAGGGTTGTTTGGGTGCTTGTCGGCTTCGTCGAAGGGATTGGTGCTTGTTTCGGGTTCTGGTTCGTCGAAAGGATTTGCTGGAACGTCTTGCTTGGCGTAACTGGTGTCCCCGTAGACTTGTTTCGAAGATTCACCAATTGTTTTGACGTACTTCGTTTGTTGCATTGTATTTGTAGCTCCATCGTGCTTTTTGGAACCACCTTGACTATCTCTACTTGTCTTCTCCTTGAACCGTTTTTCAATCTCCTCAACCTTATTATAAACATCCAAATCCTCATTATCATTATCCAAGATCTCGTACTTGCTCACCACCATCGCTTTATCGTATGTAGGATTTTTATAAAACATCAAAATAATACAATTGGTGCACAAAGCCAGAAGAACATACGTTACGACAGTCGCCAAGAAATCTGTTTCGATGAAAATAATCAGGAAAATCGATATCAGGATCGAGCCCAAGTAGAAGGTGCATTTTAGATAGATCTCGATGGAGTGGAAGCTGTCGTTGAAGTATTTTTGGAGGATGAAGAGCGATTGTTTGCGGAGGAGACAGGCACCAAAACCTGGATAAAGGAA